TCACTGCGAAGGGCCCCAAATATACGTATAGACACTCTTCCATACACATCCAAGCTCGTCCCCCAACTCTCAAACAGTTGCTCCTTGGCCACTGCTGGTCTGAATCTTTGTGTCCCCCAGAATTCCTTTGTTGAAATTTAATCCCCAATATGATAGTACAGTCATCCCTCAGTATCTGTGCACAGGTGGATTCAAGACACCCTCCCTCCAAGATACCAAAATCTGTGGATGCTCAAGTCCTTTATATAAAATGGCATAGTATTGACCCCATATTTTGCCATGTAAAATGTGCTCCCATGTATAATGTGCACCCACATTTTGGGCCCAAGCTTTGAGAAAAACACCCCTCAAGAAAGTGGCCAACTCTTGGCTGAGAGAGACATACTGGGGAGGGCTAATGCTCCCCTGGTAAACATGCAGATCACACCACCCTTCTGCAGCCTCCTGCTCTGTGAAGGCTGCTCCTTCTCTGTCTCGCAGGAGCCCTTTGCTCCCTGCCATATCAGGGCCTGTGGCAGAGTTGACCATGTGTGTGGCTGGCCAGGTGGCAGGCCGAGAGGCCTGCAGGCAACCAGATGGGTCTCTGGTATAGGCAAAAAGCCTTTCTACAGATTAATTCTGTGAGTGCAAGTCTGAAGTCTTAGAGAGCTGTGAAGGAAAAAAGCCTGGGTAGAACTGTATAGTGGCTAGTAACCTAGTCAGGTAGGAGGCAGAGCCTGCAGGCAGGTGTCTGTATATCTCAGGAATTTCCTCACTACTCCCTGGGAATGGATGACTGCTGCCTCCAGATGGTCTGTTAAAGGTCAGGCATTATATCTGCTTTCTCCCCCAGACTTCTGTTTTGCGGTTTGTTATTTTAAATTACCTAGTATAACGATAACTTTAGATAAGGTTAGTGGTATGGTTTTTGGTTAATCAGTAGACATTTAGACACCAGGTGGCTGGAGGTTTGTGTTATGAGATTATTGATTAATAGTGTGTACATCTAGTATTGCCTATATAAATTTTGGTGGAATAAAGCAGTTTTGCTACATGCCTAAGAGAGCTGTAGTCTCCCTTATTTCTCTGACATTTCAGATGCAAGCTTATACTCTGCAACGCAGCATCACGCATACTTAATGCAACACTCTGGGGCCTGCACAGAGCTCCTGATCCCCATGGACTGCCTCCCTAGAGCTACCACTGCCACTTCCCTGATTGCAAAGCTCAGTGGAGGTCACTTGTCTGGCTCCCATTGGATCCTGGATCCTCCCAGACTAGAACCCAGTGGGCCCAAGTAGGAGGGCACAGGGGTCCCAGTGGCCCGCTAGGCTTCCTCACTTCTGAGCTGTATTGCCAGTGTGTAATATGCATCTTTTTTTCCCTCAAAAATTTGGGCAAAAATGTATGTATTATACACAGAAACATACAATATGTGTAATCTACACACATCCTCCCATATACTTTAAATCATCTCTGGATTACTTAAAATACCTAAAGCAATGTAAGTACTGTGCAAATAGTTGTTATGCCATATTGGCCTTTTTTGTTTGTATTTTTTTAATCTTTGTGTTGTTGTATTTTTTTATCTTTGTGTGTTTGTATGTGTATATGTACATTCCAATTGTCACCCTGGGTAGAATGTAGGAGATACATATATATCTCATTCTGTCACCCTGGGTATTATGTAGAATGTCCTGGCCTCATAGCTCATAGCAACCTCCAACTCTCAGGCTTGAGCAATCCTCTTGCCGCAGCCTCCCTAATAGCTGGGATTGGACATGCCTCCTGACTCCTGGCTGGTTTTTCTATTTTTAGTAGAGACAAGGTCTCACTGTTACTCATACTGGCCTCAAACTCCTGAGTTCAAGGGATCCACCCACCTCAGCCTCCCAGAGTGCTAGGATTATAAGCGTGAGCCACCGCACCCTGCCTTAGAGTGCCTTTCCATTATATGAGATTACAATGTAGAGATGGCCATATATGAGGAAGACACAGAACCTACTAGCACCTTGATCTTGGACTTCTCAGCCTCCATAACTGTGAGGGACACATTTCTTTTGTCTATAAGCCACCCAGTCTAAGATGCTCTGCTATAGCAACCAGAACAGACTAAGGCAGCTACCTCTTGAACCTACAGGTGTGTGTACCAACAGCATAGTCTCTCTGTCTTTAGGACTCAGAGAAAAGGGTCCAGGAAGTAGGCATGGTAGAGAATTCTAGGGCCCTAGAGGTCCAGAAGAGTGGTCTAAAAGGAGGAAGGACATACCCTCTTGGCCCTGCAGACCCTGAGCCCTCTGGAAGATTTGCGTGATTCAAGCAGGGCCTTCAGACGTGGATATCCAGGGCACTGACCCTTGCCCTCTTGTCTTGGAATTTTCCAGGCTGCAAGCTCATAGCAAAAGCCACTTCCTACCACTTCCCTGGGCTCTGAAATTTGTTCCCTTATATCTCCACCCTGAGACGTGAACAAGAAACAAGCAGACCAGTACAAAAGAAAAAATATTGTTTATTCCACACAACGACATCAGGTGCTTCTCCCCCATTCTCCTCTCCCTTCCCCAATCCTCGCTCTAGCCCTCTGTAGGCTTGGCCCCATGTTTGGAGACACTCAGAACCTCAGGAGCCTGGCCTATGACACAGAAAGAAAATCTGGGTACAGGAAGGTGACTAGATTTCCAAGAACATAAATATGTCAGGGTCTTGCATTACAAACTCAAGTGTGTTCCTTAGTCCATTTGGCTGAATTTGTTCCTTGGGCTCCACCTAGATAAAATGCCATGGTTAGTGCACGGTCAAAGGCCCCAGCTGATTCACCAGACCATAGAAAGTTTTGGTCTTTCATTTGAAATGAAACAAACAAAACTATACACAGTTAAACGTTGTCTGTCCATTCTCCTTTCTTTCCATGGCAAAGGACCAACTGAGCTCTGGCTTAAGTCCAGAAAGATGCTTTCAAAATGAAATTTATATCAACTCCCTTTACAGCCTAATGCTTCCCTAAAAAACAAAAAGAATGAGTGGCTGAGGCCCCAGCTGCTTCCCAGGGGGCCGGAGGAGCAAGGGCAAGGGTTGTAGGCTAGTGAGCTCTGCTTTGGATATGCTTGAAGGACATCCTGCACCCCCTGCCTGGGGAATTCAGCCTGCAAATATTCTGCCCATGATATTGTTCCTCTGAAAGACCAACCCATCCTTCCAGCTGAGAAGAAAATTATTTAATTCTAGCTTCGCCTTGGAAAGACATATTTAGATGACAGAGAGGCCAGGCCTAATTTAGGCTAGTGGTTCATGATTTTTTTTCCTGCCATGACACAGGATAAATGATGTCCTCTGGAATGTCTGCGACCACAGACACACCCTGGATTATATGCTATTCCCAGGGTGGCAGCTGTGACCCACTTGTGTCTCCCAAACAAGAAAGCATGTCTGAATGCAAGTGTTTAAGCATGACAATCTGCATATCTCTAATTTTTGAAGGGAAGTCACTGAACCCTTTACAAACTCCAACACTTCGACTATTCTTACTGAAAACTTTACAACACCTCTCTCAAGCGAATGTGTAATCTCGGTGAGGCAGGCTGATAACCCTGAACTAGACCATGGAGCCTTCCCACGGGAGACAGGTTCTCTCCTGTGATCACCTCCACTACACTCTGTGGGTCTGGCTGGCCCAAATACTGCGAGGCATATGTCAGTGTTGCACACAACTCTCCCCTGCTCAGTGGCAGGGAGTGGCCATGCTGGCATTCAGGGCCTGGAAGTGACCAGTAGGAAGTGGGAAGGAAAGACCATAACACAGCAGAGGAATCCAGGCTAGAAGTGGGGATGTGCTCGTGCCTGGGTGAGTCACGTGAGAGCAGTAGAGAGGGATTGCTAGAGAGGAAGCTCTGGAAGGGTAAGAGTAGAGACGGGGTGCTTGACCCCTTTAGGGACAGTCTACACAGCAAGATTGGGACCATCTAAACAAATCTCTTGAGTTCTCTCCTGACTTTCTGGAGTCACAGACTGATTTTTAGGGACTGGGTAGGCACAGTGAGGCTGGAAACTCACTTAACAGCTTAGATGAGATTCCAACCCCGAATGTACCATAACAACACCCCCCTGCCCCCTGGAGGCAGAACCTGTTCTAATCCGGGGCTATTCTTGACTCAAGGGGCACTGGGCAAGAAGTGGGCGGGGGGGGGGTTGCTTATACACATACATGGTCTAAGTCTCTGGTCAAAATGAGATTTCTCCTCCAGTCTCCAAGGCTTAGACTTACAAAGAAAATTAGAGTTAAGTCAGGGGCGTCATCAGCTCTCCCAAGGACGTTGATGTTTCCCCAGGGCCTTGCTGTCAGACTGATTGTTTAATTTGCTCCCTTTGAGAAGGCCCCAGGACTGGGTTGGGGGTGGTTGTGGGACAAGAGAAAGGGAAGGTCAGCATTCCTTTTTTTCCTTTTTTACAGAGGTGCCTGCTTACAGGGATTTTCCCAGCTTCAAGTTCTCTTAACCCACACTCTTTTTGTGGGAAGAATGGCCATAGATGAGATTAAATTAAAATCTAGGAAGATGGCCTTATTTTTTAAATTCCCAACCTGCTGTAGATCCAGGACAACTCCAGAACAAGTAGAGTTCACTGTCACTTCCTTCCAACATGGATTACAAACAGGTTGGTTTTAGTGCAATTGTTCCCTCAGTAGAACCAGGGAGAGGTGGGAGAGATTATATTTTCTGGCCCCAGGGCTGTGGGAATGTTCTGACCTTGAGGTCAAGGCAGACTTTGAGCCTGACCTTCTTATTTATTTATTTATCTATTTTTTAGAGACAGAGTCTCACTTTATCACCCTCGGTAGAGTGCTATGGTATCACAGCTCACAGCAACCTCCAACTCCTGGGCTTAGGCGATTCACTTGCCTCAGCCTCCCGTGTAGTTGGGACTATGGGTGCCCACCACACGCCTGGCTATTATTTTGTTGCAGTTTGGCCGGAGACAGGTTCGAACCCGCCACCCTTGTATATGGGGCTGGCGCCCTACCCACTGAGCCATAGGTGCTGCCTGAGCCTGACCTTCTAAGCAGCACATCACACTTTGGTGAATTTTATTTCCTGGGGCCTTTCTAGGGGACAGTGTGCCTATAGGTCAAGTGTGGGGGAGGGGCAGCAGGAGGCTGCAGTTCCACTGAATGAGGTGTCACACCTGCCACACTAACACAGAGGAGCAAAGGAGAAGAGGGCTGGAAGGGGAATGGCAAAAAAGCAAGAGCTAATGGCCTTAGGAGCTGCTACAGCCCTGCCCCAGGGCCAGGGACTTTCTGGTTCCCAACCAGAATTTACCCTTCAGAAACATGTTAGCAAAGTGCTTCTCTAAGTGACACCACCACTCCTCTTCTGCACAGCCAGCCCAAGCCTGGAGCTCCCATGTGGGCCCCTCAGGTTTCCCCATGTTGTGGGGGGTGGGGGAGAAGGAGGCAGTGACGTACATGCACACGGTGGAGTCTCATGACCTAGGGCGCACACAGCTGCACGTGGCAAAAGGGCAGGTGCTGCCCTGGCAGTGGCTGCAGCTGGGAGCCAAGGGACAAGTACAAAGTGCTGGACGCAGGGCCGGGGGCTGAGCCCTAAGGGATCTGAAAGACATTCAGCTTGCTGGTGTTCTTAAGAGTCTGGCGCCGATTGCAGAACCAGACCCGTACCACTTCACGATCATAGTTGAGCTCCTTAGCAATCTCAGTGATCTCCTGGCCCGTGGGCAGTGGGTTCTTCTCAAAGTAGGCATTGAGAGCCTCTATGGCCTGGGGAGTGAAGGAGGTGCGGCGTTTACGTTTCTTGGAGGGCTCACCTCCCACAAACTCCATCAGGTTCTGCTGGCCTTCCTGGTTCCGGAGTTCGGCCTCATTCAACCACTTCTCCAGCACCGGCTTCAGTTTCTGGGCACTCTTGGGCGTGATGTCCAGCTTCTCAAACCTGCAGGCAACCATCCCAAAAAGTGACAGTGAGAGTCTTGGTCTCTTCAGCACACCCCACACTCAGGTGTAAGCAGTGTCCTTAAGGGGCTGCTGCCTTGGAACCTGGCAGGACTGTCCCCAGGGTTACCCACACCACCTCCACTACAGCCCCTCCAGCTTGACCAAGCCCAGACTCCTCCTTACTCTCCAGAGTCCCAGGTCCTAACAGGGAGACCATTCCCAGCCTTAGCTCCTCAGCTCCAGCAGTAGTGCGATGCAACAGTGCCACTACTGCATGAACAACCATCCCAGAACTTTCCCCTAGGTAAGTGGAGGCCTTTGAGGGGTCATCCTGAGAGGCCTCCAGATGTCATGAGTGCTGCCCCCTGCTGTCGCATTCTAACGCAGATCACTCACAACCCGAGCTGCTCTTTCCTGCTGAGCCTGGATGTGGCAACAGAATTCTCACATGGCACCGCAGGCACTCTAATAGTCACTCTGGGTCTAGTCAATGAAGTTAGCAGGCAGGTGAAACCTTTTGGCCATCCCTGAGCCATGCACTTATCCCTGTTGGAAACTCTCAGTTATCCTCTCCTTTGATACTGGCACCCAAACTAGTTTGTTAGCTGCACACAGAAAAATCAACTATATTTCTTTATAAGAGGGGGAGACGGGAGCATGACAGGGTTTGGTGGGTTATACTTAAGGGCGAAGACAGAACTGAAGTTTAATTTTATTTAATTAATGTTTAATTTTATAAGCTGTACCCCTTTCCTGATAGGATTCCTAAATGGATTAAAGTCTTGAGTTCTTTGAAGAAGTCTGTATGAATGCTCAGGACTGGAGGCTAAACTTCTCAGAGCCCCAGAAAGACGGGCTACCCCAGGTGTAGGTGTGTTTGCCCTTAGCACAATTTTCCTTGTGCTAAGGAGAAGGCGGCAGGAGCAAGGGGGAATATGCAAAGCGGCCAGATGCCTGGGTCCCCGTGAGTGAGTGTTAAATGGCACCAGACACCCAAGCAGGCCCCGATCCTCTCCTGGGCAGCCCACTCACCGGCAGATGGCTGACTGGCTGTAGGCTGGGCCTTCTGTCGCCGTCAGAGCCTGACCCACCTGGGTCTGTGTGAGGCCCAAGGAGAGCCGACGGATCTTAAAGTTCTTGGCAAACTCCCGAATCTCTTCCAAGTTGATCCCATCCTCATCCAGACTTGGAGTATGTGGCTCTAGGCCAGAGGGAGGGATGAGTGTGTAAGACATGAACTGTCACAGTTTATTTGGTTCATCAGTCTGGACTGATGCAGAAGTGAGGACATCTGGCAAAAGGCACCCTTAAGACCCACATCACCCCTGTCCCCAAGACAAGCAAGGCTCGGGGGAAAGGGGCCTAAAGTAGCCTCTCTGGGGTCTACCTTCAAGTTCTTCCAGCTCTAACAGCTGACCCTCTCCCACTCTCCCTATGCCTAGCCCCAAACACACCTGTTGGCCATCCACATTCCTCAAATTGAGAGACCACAGCAGAGACAACCAGTGGCTTGGCCTCTCAAACAGCCAACTAAGTGGCCTCCACCATCATCATGCCAGAATCCAGTTCAACAGGAAAGGGAATAAGAAAGCCAAGCTCAGGGGCACCTGTGGCTCAGTGAGTAGGGTGCCGGCCCCATATACCGAGGGTGGTGGGTTCAAACCCGGCCCCAGACAAACTGCAACAAAAATAGCCAGGCGTTGTGGTGGGCGGCTGTCGTCCCAGCTACTCGGGAGGCTGAGGCAAGAGAATCACTTAAGCCCAGGAGTTGGAGGTTGCTGTGAGCTGTGATGTCACAGCACTGTACTGAGGGTGACAAAGTGAGACTCTGTCTCTAAAAAAAAAGAAAGCCAAGTCTGTGCATTGGGCCTCTGCCCTTCCCCTTGGGCCCCAGGGAGTTAGCTAAGGAAAGCAGCATCTGAAGAGGTTGGGAAACTCAAATAAATGCCTCTCCCTCTTCTTCACACTTCTCCGCTAGGAGCCACTTACTGGACACCAACTGGCTGACGGTGGGGGTCTCTGAGCAGGTGATTGGGATGGGAGCAGAGGCAGACGGCTTGGCTGCTGGAGCTGGGCTGGCAATGACCACAGCGGGCTGGGGCACAGCTGATGTGGGCTGGATGGGCTGCACCTATGAGAAGCAAGACAACAAGCCTTTACTCCCCCCGCCAGGCTCAGGGGTTTAGAATCCCTGGATGGACCAAAGGCAGGGCAAGAATGGGCATGAAATTTTCATCTACCCAGGATGCTCCCACTTTTGCTTTATCAAATATCAAGACTAAAAGCTCTTTCTTAGCACCTACCCAACAATAACGATGGAACAATCCTAAATAAGTACAGTGACATGCCCTACCAAACTGGAGCCTCACAGCCACCTGAGACACAAGCAGGTGAGAGGCTCAGAAAGGTTCAGTGCAGCTACTCAAAGCCCCAACACATGCTCACCCTTAGATAACTGCTCTCAAACATCTGCTGTCAAAGGAGATGGCTAAACCTGATCCTGGAGACTCCTAGGCCCCAAATGCCCATTAATAGGGAAAGGTTAGATGTTTTCTGGGACCTCTCTAAAATAAGATACTGGGCAGAGGCTTGAAGCCTGTAGCTCAGCAGCTAGGGCACCAGCCACATACCCAGCCGGATATTTGAACCCAGGGCAGGCCTGCCAAACAACAGTGACATCTACAACCAAAAAATAGCCAGGCGTTGTGGCAGGTGCCTGTAGTCCCAGCTAATTGGGAGGTTAAGGCAAGAGAATCACTTGAGCCCAAGACTTTGAGGTTGCTATGAGATGCTACAACACTCTACCCAGGGTGACATAGTGAGACTCTGTCTCAAACAAAAAGAAAAGAAAGAAAAACCAAATTAAAAAAATTTTTTAAAAAGATACTGGGCAGATATTAAAAAGAATAAGGTAGTTGGATGTGGTGGCTCATGCCTGTAATCAATCCTAACACCTTGGGAGGCTGAGGCAGGAGGATTGCTTGAGGCTAGTAGTTTGAGACCAGCCTGGGCAACATAAAAAGACTCTCATTGCTACAAAAAATAGAAAAAATTAGCCAGGTGTGGTATTGTGCGCAGGACCATCCTGGAGTTTGCTACTTGGGAGGCTGAAACAGAAGGATCCCTTGAGCCCAGGAATTTAAGGTTGCTATGAGCTATGATGACACCATAGCACTCTAGCCTAGGCAACAGAGCAAGATCCTGTCTCAAAAAACAACAACAGGGGGGTGGCACCTGTGGCTCAAAGGAGTAGGGCACTGGCCCCATATGCCGGAAGTGGCGGGTTCAAACCCAGCACCTGCCAAAAAACTGCAAAAACAAAACAAAACAAAACAAACAACAACAACAAAAACAACAATGAAAAACTATATCTTGGGCAGCGCCTATGGCTCAGTGAGTAGGGCACTGGCCCCATATACCCTGGGTGGTGAGTTCAAACCTGGCCCCGGCCAAACTGCAACAAAAAAATAGCCGGGCATTGTGGCGGGCACCTGTAGTCCCAGCTACTCAGAAGGCTAAGGCAAGAGAATTGCCTAAGCCCAAGAGCTGGAGGTTGCTGTGAGCTGTGATGCCACAGCAGTTTACTGAGGGTGACAAAATGAGACTCTGTCTCTAAAAAAAAACAACTATATCTCAACTCGGCACCTGTAGCACAGTAGTTATGGCGGCACTGGCCACATGCACTGAGGCTGGCAGGTTCGAACCGGCCAACTAAACGACAACTGCAACCAAAAAAAAATAGCTGGGCGTTGTGGCGGGCACCTATAGTCCCAGCTATTTGGGAAGCTGAGGTAAGAGAATCTCTTAAGCCCAAGAGTTTGAGGTTGCTGTGAGCTATGACACTACAGCACTCTACTGAGGGTGACCCAGTGAGACTCTGTCTCAAAACAAACAAACAAACAAACAAACAAACAAACAAAATCTATATCTCTTCACTACTCTGAGCTCTGGTCATTACATTAAAATAAATAATACTAAATAAAAAATAAAATAAAATAGCAGGGAGCAGTAGCTCATGCCTATAGTCCCAGCACTTGGAAGGTCGAGGTGGGTGGATTGCCCTAAGCTCAGTGGTTCAAGATGAGCCTGAGCCAGAGTGAGACCTCATCTGAAAAAAATAGCCAGGAGTTGTGGCCAGTGCCTATAGTCCCAGCTACTAGGAAGGCTGAGGCAAGAGGATCTGTTGAGCCCAAGAGTTTGAGGTTGTTGTCAGCTGTGTCACCATGGCACTCTACTCAGGGCGACAGCTTGAGACCCTGTCTCAAAAAATAATAATACTAATAAATAAAATAAAATAAAAAATACTAAGAGATAGAGTCTTACTCTTTTGCCCCAGCTTAGAGTGTCATGGTGTCAGCATAGCTCACAGCGACCTCAAACTCCTGTGCTCAAGTGATCTTCCTGCCTCAGCCTCCCAAGTAGCTGATCTATAGGCACCCAGCTAATTTTTCTATTTTTAGTAGAGATGGGGCCTCACTCTTTCTTAGGCTGGTCTTGAACTCCTGAGCTCAAGCGGCCTACACGCCTCAGCCTCCCAGAGTGCTAGGATTATAGGCATGAGCCGCCACACTCAGTCTCATATGATTTTTTTTAAAGCTTTCTACGCAGTGCAAGTTACTCCAGGATGGTCCTGTTCTCTGTATTCCACCCCGTAGCTCTCAAGTTCATTTCTTCTTCATCCCAGGGCCTTTGCCTTAGTTCAAAGCTCTTTGTCTCTTGCTAGAACTGTTTAAACTGTCTCCTAACAGGTGACCAGGATTTAAACCAGAGCCCAGTTCTTGGGATTTTTTTTTTTTTTTAAATGCACATTGCCTAAAGTTAGAAGGTGGAGGGCTGGCTGTAGCTCAGCGGTTCCTTCATCTATACAGTGCAACTTTGTTTCACTAAAGGTGCCAGCTCTGCCCCTTCAGCCCTGTGGGCGCTCCCCAGCCCATTTTAAAGAAAAAAATAAATAAAGTTAGAAAGTAGAGCACTCTCACAGCCCACTCATCCTTCACCTCCCCCCACCCCCACCCCGCCTTTTTAGAGACAAGGTCTAGCTGTGTTGCCCAGGTTGAAGTACAGTGTGTGTGGGTAGGGGCTGCAGGGTGCTGTTTCCCCAGGTCCCCTTCTACTCTGGGGCCTGATCTCATCATTGAGAGGTAGCCCGCTCTCCTAGGAGTTTCAGAAAATGTTGTCCTGCCTAGCCATCTGGAGGGAAGCCACCCATACCAGACTGTGCTAACTGTCCTTCCTTCCACCCCTTTCCCCAGCCCTTGTACCTCACTCTTAGCAGGGGACTCAGGCGTGCTCGGCTTCCGGACAGCCACAGGTGGAGGCAGGGGGCTGCTGGCCAAGGTCGCAATCACCTGGCCCTGAGCGTTCAGCAACAGTTGGGGGGTGACGGCCTGGACCTGCAGGCTTTGGGCTGGTGCTGGGGCTGCCACACTAGCTGAGTTCACTACCCACGGAAGTGTTCCAATAACCTGGGGGAAATAAGGTGTGGACCCCAGGCGTGAGAGTAGCGTCCAGCTCCACCCCCAGCCCACATCCTCACACTGTCAGGGGAAGAGACTAACTTGGACAAATCACTTAGCCCTCACAGCCCAGCGGCTACTTCCTTTACTCTACCCTCAGCACTGTGGAGGAGCAGGAGTAGGTCTGGGTGTGGATTCAGAGACTTGGACGCAAACCCTTGCTCTGCCACATTTTAGCTATGTGGCTTAAATGCTCTGAACCTCAGAACCTCTTGTCCTGTAAAATGAGAATAAAAATCGCCATCTAATAGATTCGTACTCGAAACAAAGTGAGATAATGTGTGAGAAAGCACCGAGCACAAAGCCTCACCACAAAATGGGTGTTCCATAAATGAAAACCCCAACTAGGGCGAGCACCTGCGGGGTGAGGGGCGGCTATGCCCCTGCCTGGCCCAGATGCAGCAAGGAGCCTCAACACAGGAGACGCAGGCTGCCCCTTGATATGCTGAATTTCCTGGACACTTAGCCCAAATTCTGGCCAACTCTTGCCAGCTTCTCCACAGTCCCCACCCCTCAGCCTTGCCTTTGACTACTTGCCTGTCCCTGAGCATTGGTGAGGATCTGGCTGCTGAGCCCCGGCATGCTGGGAATGGCATTGGCAATGACAGGAGTTGTGGTGAGGGAGCCTAGGATCTGGGTCTGTCCCCCAAGGGAAGTAGCGCTGATCTGTAGGTGGAGAAAGAGGCTTGCTCAGAGGGCAGTGGGTAAGAAGAGCCCCAGGCAGAGGGAAGAGGACTGAGGGCTTTGGGGTGGGCACATGTGATTGTGGGCTGCAGGCCCATGTCCATTGGCTGAATAGTTTCCAGGACTAGGGATGCAGGGGTCAGTAGGGAAGGGTACAGCCACAGTCACGGAACAATAATTCTGGTTAATCTTTCAGGCCAGACCTGGGGGTGGGGTCTAGAAGGGCCAAGCTGGAGAGGCTGACGTGATCTTAGTCACACCTAATAGCTCCCACTGCCAAGCCAAGAGCCACACTGGATGACACCAGCATAGAGCTATAAACCTCTAGATGCACCTTAGTGACAACTCACAAGTTTACAATCCCCAGACATCATCCCCCCCTCCAAGCCTGGTCCAGTGGTCAGGTTCTGGAGAATTTTCCCAGCCCTCTGGGCAGGGGTTGTCTGCTTTTATCTGGGATGGGTGGGCTGACAGCTTCAAGGAGAGGGCCACAGAGACAGCCCATTTCTGCTGATGTGGTGGAAAAAGGGGGTTGGTTCTCCACTGTGGGGCAAGTCAGTTCCACCCTTGGCCTGACTCAGTCCATCCCTGGTCAGCCCTGGGTGAAGGCAGCAGCTTACGATTCCTGGGCTAAATGCGAAGCCTGCAGGCTGGACAGTGATCTGTGGGGGTGTGTCCACTGGCTTTGGGGTGGGGGCAGCAGCGGTGGCAGCTGTGGGCTGCGGTAGGATGGCAGGTGTGGTCTGCAGCAGCGGCTGGGTCTGGAACAGCGCCTGGGGCTGGGCCGGTGGCCGGGACTGGGCCGGCGACGAGGCCTGTACTGGTGGGGCGGCTTGTACGGGTGCCGGGAGAGCGGTGTTCAGCACAGCAGCTGCTATGGAGCAAGGCAGAGACAGAGGTGCTCAAATGCCTAGCCATAGCCCAGATCAGCTCCAATCCCAAGGGATCTGGCACAAGATTGAGAGGGGTCAGGGCGGTGGGCAAGGGGAGCAGGCAGCCATGATTCCCTTGATCCTTGAAGGGCTGGCCCATGCCAGCATCTCTCAACCCCCCCTCCCTTGGGCCAGGAGAGGTGTAGGCTCAAAAACCAGATGAATCTTCTTGCAGTCCTTCTCAGTAGGCTGGTCGTGGGGTGAGTTCTGGCACTGGGGGAGAGGGGCAGTCTCAAGACAATTGGCTGAAGTAAGAAAGGCCTGCTGGGCCAGCATGGTGTCACGGCCTAGAGTCCCAAGCTGATGCAGTGGCTCTGTGGCTGGATGCCCAAGACATCAGATCCAGAGTCCAGGGCAGTCACCCTGGGCGGGCTGCAGGTTCTGAGTCCGACATGGCAACGTGCAGGGGTGTAGGGTGGTAGGGGGCCTGGTGGTGCAGTCCTAGGAAGAGTTGCTGTTACCTTGGAGACCGGCTAAAGGTGGCTTGAAAATTCCCCCCGTAGGAGAAGCAGCGGTCAGTCCTGGGAGGGCAGCCACGGTTGCTGTAGGAATTGTCCACACGGCCAGCCCCTGCTGACCAGCCACTTGACCTGCAATACTGATGGGGATAAGAAGAGGTTGAGTAACTGCCCCTGCTGGAACCATAACTCCTGTCAGAACTGTGGCTAAGTTTTCCTGAGTCAAGACCTGCAAAAGCAAACAAGATTTCAAAAAGAAAAGAAAAAGTAAAAAATCAACATTGACAGAGCAAACACTGGGTCTCTCAGACCCAGCTGAGCACAAACAAAGCATTCTGAGGGCAATAGGGAAAAGGCCGTATAAAGGGTGGGAGAGCCAAGCCCACACTGGAGCCCCAAACCTGAGGGGGTGCCTGGACCCACTATCCTGCCTTCAGAGAAGCCACCCAAATTCAGGATGGCCTGGCCCTGCTCACAGCACTGTAAAGGGCGTACAGGCCTCTTGCCCACAGGGCCAAGGAACAGGGTGCAGAGGCTAGTGGAACCAAGTGATCAGGGACCCACAAGAGGCCTCCGAGAGGCTCTGACAGAAGACACCCTTGACTCAATGACTTAGAGATGGGTGTGTGCGGTGAAGGTCATGGGGGCTCCGGATGCCTGCAGCATCCTGGAAGCAGCTCCTTGGAGTGCTTGGGGGGCTGCTCCCTGGCTCTAAATCAGGGCTCTGCAAGTAATTCATTAACTCTTCCAGGCAGCCACAGGAGGAGCTGACAAGGGTATTCACTCATTTGTCATTAAACAGAAACTCTGGTGGCATGAAAGAGTTCATGTTAATTTCTACAATTCTTGCTAGACTCAAGGCGATGACCTGGCAAACACAGATCATTTCCATATGGGCCTGGTCCAGGCAGAGGTGAGGCTAGGGGTGCCTGCTAGGAGATTCCTTCCCTTCAGGCCACAGCTCCTTCCCTGTTTTGCCTCATGAAGTTCCCAGATCCCACGGCCAACCCATGCTGGCTGTCCCAAGCCTCTCTCCTGCCCACTGCCCTCTGTCCAGCTCCCCAGGGTGGCCCTTACCTGGGGGGCAGCTTGCACAGCCAGTGGTGTCAGGGTCTGTGATGCCTGAGGCTGGCTTGGGGCTTGGCTGAAGGTGGCAATGGTGGGGGCAGAGCTCAGAGGGATCCCCGGGAGTGACTTCACTTCACATGGCATTGAGAGAAAGAAGGACAAGGAGTGAGCTGGGTGTGAGTGGAGGGTCATCAGAGTAGAACCCACGTTATACTTCTGCATAATCCCCAAACCAACTTCCTTCCCTGGTCCAGGAGGCAGCTCCCCACTGCTATTGGCAGTGAGACTAGGAGGTTGGGGAGCCCTTCCAGATCTGGAAGGTAAAACGCCCTCTTCCCACATCTAGATGAAGAAAATGCAGGCTATGCAGTTGCATGTTAGCCCCTCATTTCCTAGCTCTATCGGACTTGTCACATAATCAGTAGAGGGGCCTGGAGCAAACGTGTCAGGGAGGAAGGAGAAGTGTAGGAGAAGCAGCGGTTAGTCCCGGGCGGGCAGCCGTGGTTGCTGTAGGAATTGTCCACATGGCCAGCCCCATGGCAGCAGCTAACCCTGGCGCATTCAGCAACTGAATCATTGTTCACCCCACCTTCCCGCTACTGTTTGGATGCAGCTGTTGGCTTGGGGAAGGGACAGAGGTTCCTGAAGAGTAAAGCCCTGGAAGTAACAGTCCCTGAAAACTGGACATGTCTTCACCACACTGCAGGATTTTAGGGCCTCTCCTGGCTAGCAGCTTTTCTCTGCCATTCCCTGAGGTCTAAAGTCAGAAGACAAACAGCTTCTGTAAACTTGTAAAGGAACTTCCCATGAAATGGAGCTTTTTACCTCTTGTTATCTGAGCTTATTTAGGTGTTGGGGTGCCCCCACCAGGGAACCTCTGCACAGCCTCACAACAGTGAGAAGAAGGGTTATCATTTAATATATGGTGAGACATTAAAAGGAGTCTTTATATTGGACCAGATGAGCCACTTCTTAACAATGCTGGGCATCTATTTCTAGGCTCTAATCTAGACCTACCGAAGGAGGTGGTGGCCAGGTACCTCTCTTCTCCTTCTTTCTTTCTTTTTTTTTAAATAAACAGACAATATCCACATTGTTTATTTCTCACAGTTTTCCTGACAAATGAACATTATTCAAGAACATTCTGTATACACAGATAAGAAGAAACATACAAAATGTTTTAAATGATGCACAACAAAATCCAGCAGTATAAAAGAACGCACGTGAACTCTTGCTCACTGCGTGGACTAAATTTAATCACTTGTTGAGTACTTTTTTTGGCCGGGGCTGGGTTTGAACTCACCACCTCTGGCATATAGGGTTGGCACCCTACTCCTTTGAGCCACAGGCACCACCCAATCACTTGTTTAAATAGTAATAAAAATATAATCTTTTATGGGTCTTGTGAAGACTACAAAAAGAGGGAAATTATTACCATATATATGATTTTTATATTAGGCAATTTTCTTTGATGAGTTGTATCGACAACCCCAAATACAGAGGGTTTTTGGCAGGGGCTGGGTTTAAATCTGCCACCTCCAGCATATGGGGCTGGAACCTTACTCCTTTGAGCCACAGGTGCCACCCTCCTTCTTTTTTTCTTTGAAGTTCTATTGTGATACAGCACACAGCCAAGAGTGGGAACCAGTAAATCAAATAACCTTAAGGGTTTCATCTAATCCTGCAGTCCTAGCCTCGTTTAATTGGGGAGGGCTTCAAACTAGACCAGAACTATACTATTCAAAGCACCACATGATAAAACCTAGGCAGTTTAAGGATCAAAGAGACACGCATACAACAGGAGAGGCCTTGTAAAACAGCAAAGGAAAATGAAATGGAAAGATTATCTCCTCTGTGGAGGAAAGATACATTTCTAACTACTGGGGGGAAAAAAGTCACGGGTTAAGGATAATCTGAAAATATGAACATTAAAAAAATATCTTTTTAGACAAAATGTAATGAAATATAGAAAGGAAAGTGAGAAAATGGGAATGTGACAACATAAATGATAAAACTTACCATCTTAAGAAATTAAACATTCATTTTATTAGGGTATATTTCCAAAGTAGGACCATGGGGTCCAATGGTTCACAAACATTTAGAGGTTGGTTTGCTTCCTACCAGACTGTACAGAAAGACTAAACCAAATCACAGAACCATCAACAATGTAGCTATTTCTCCACAGCACCACCCAATTTAGGTTTTTTTGCTGTTTATTTAGTGTCTGGGTTATCACATATGTGGTATCTTAAAGTCAATTATTTTTCTTCTCATTGATAGCAAGACTTTGTACTTTTTCATGTGATGACTTCTTCCTGTGTTAATAATTAATTTCTCTTCAAAAGGAATTTCAGTAAATACACTACAAAAAAAATGTTTGTTAAGCTGGGTGCGGTGGTGGTGTGTGCTTATAATCCCAGCTACCTGAAAGGATGAGGGGGGAGGATAGCTTGATCCCAGGAGTTCAAGACCAGACTGGGCAACATAGCAAGATCCCCTCTCTGTTAATAAACAAATAAATAGAATATGAAAAAAAAATTAATGGACCAATACCAAGACTTTCAAAGCAGCACTGTTTATGAGAATGAAAAACCAGACAATTTTTACAATGACCCAAATTAGAAGCAGGTGCGTGAATCTATGTCAATGATGGAAATGGGCATATGAAATATGGTGGTGTCATAATAGGTAGTCTACCCTCATTGGCCACAACTATAAAAATATGTACGGATATACGTAAGACTGGATAGTAATTTAGAGTGACACAAACCACTAGATCCTTTTTTCATCCTGAAAAAATTTCCTATTACTTAGTTTTGTTTTAATAAGAGGAAACCCTTCTTAATACTATTGCACACTTAGAAAGCTTCCACCAATCTAAGCTGGTAGCTTCTTAGGTGGCACCATCAAAATACCCCCTTCACCTGCTTGACAATGACTGAAATTCCATTACGAAGAAGGCTTTCGTGAAAGGCTTAAATACACAAAGCTCTGGAAGAAGATGCACTCCACCAGAAACACTTATGCTAAGGTGTAAATATCTGATTTAAGATCCATTACTGACAGCAGGTTTGGAAAAGGAGCAGAATTGAGGCACCAGAGGAAATGAGCCATGGCAGATGCATGAAAAGGTGAAAAGGGAAGTTGGGACACTGTGAATAAACCCGAGAAACCTCCCAAGTGTTGTGAAAAGGGGCTCCATCCATCCCACGTGGCTGAAGGGAAAGGGTGGCACAGACATAGTAGAGTCCTTATCTCCTCTGCCTGCTCTGCAAGGCAGTGCCCCTTGGAGACAGGTGATGATTCAACCTGACCTCGACATGGAGGCAGAGCATTTCCAGGCTAGGGAAAAATGGTCATGTCTCTCGTTATTGTCTTTTATTCCAAAGGGAAAGCAATAACTCAGGCTATTAGTATCCCAAAGAGTCTGCATGCTGATATGCAGGCAGAGCAAGTAATGTGAAGTCATGTAGCTTTCTTGTTAAGGAGCTGCTATTTCTCCAAAGTTTATCTTTTCTCATTTGCTCTCTTCTTGGTTTCTCTTGGCCCACCTCCACCAGCCCAGATCTCCAGACTAAGGAAAAGGGGAGTACAGCAAAGGCCAGAGGAGATGAACTGCATGTTTCTGGGAACCTGGCAAAGGAAGCCCAAGGCTTCCTAGGAAGGTCCATGAAAGGTGCCCTGTGGCCAGAGAACAGTACTTCTGCTCAGCCTCTAGACCAGTTCTGGGTATCTCAGTGCTATCTGCAGGAGAATCAAGTCATGTTCTAAGGTTCTCTTTGGACAAGGGTAGCACCTATGTACATTTGCTGGGAGGAGGAACAGAAAGTCTGCAAAGTCTTCATCTGCATCCTTCCTCTGATGTAGGTAAGATGCCCGCCCATCATCAGCTCTTGGACCTCCTAGCTATACTACAAAAAGAACTGATTTAGAAAGGCTGGCAGTATCCAGTCCTCTCTGCACTGGGCCTGAGGGTCTGGCTGAGATCCAAGATTGATTCAACCCTGTAAACTGAGCCCTGCCAATCTTCTTCCACCTCCCCTAACCCATCCCAGTTTAGGTCCGATGGTGGCTAAACCTAGAACTAAAGTTCAGGAATAAGGAGTACAGAGGAGCCCTGGCAACTGACCAGAAGTACAGGCTGTGGCCAGCGGCTGTCCAGGGGACAGGAAGACAAGACGCTAAGGCCTTTTGGGCTCCAGGGACACATGCTGCCCCACCACCCAGGGAATCACAGAAGGGACTTAGGTAGAGTAATAGCAGATGGAAGCGATGGCCTCGTACCAGTTGCCTCTGCAGAGGACTCTGGGTTGTCTGGCCCAGCTTCACCAGCAGGTCCACTGGCTTCAGCAGGGCCTCCGCTCTGGGAGCCCTCGGCAGCCACATTCTCCAGTCCTTTGCCCTCCTCCTCAGTAGGGAGCTGGGCATCCACTCCAACTTCCAGCACTCGAATGGTCTCGTGGCCTGACATCACGATGACCTGCAAACAGAGCATGGGGTGCTGCTGGGGGAAGGGGCTGGCACAGCCCCTGGGGCAGCAGCTGTGGGTGTGACTGGGGTGGAGGGAGGAGGGCACTTCAGGATGCAGACCTCCTGGCCTGGGGCTGTGTGCTATGTGAAGATCCCAGAGCCTGGGGCAGGCTGCAGCTCCCAATTCCAGGGAAAGAGCTCCCAGAAGGAAGCAGGCCCTAGTAACAGGGAGAGGGCCTGATGGAGCAGGATAAAATCCCATAGACCCAAACCACATTGGAGATGATTCTGTTTGATTGCTCTTGGACTCAGTTCTGGGAGTGATAGATGGCCTATCCCACAACCTTGAAAGGATGTCCCCTTGGTGGCAAGGATATTGGACTTTGGCTGTGAGGACTCCTCACACAGTAGCCACAGCTTAAGCTGGGCCAAGAAGCAAATCCCTTCTCATTTCCCTTAAAACCATGTGGAAGTTCCCCAAGGACAAAAGGGTGGAAAATGAATGCTATGTACGCTGAGTAACTTCTAAGCTGATGATTCCTTTATTTCCAAAACCCTGGGGTAAAGCCTCTGAATTTCCCTGCGAGCTAACTTCCTGGAAACAAGGGTCCAGATTCCTAAAGATACGGCCTCTCCCTGTCTGCCCTGCCCCATTGCTGGCCTGGAGTGTTGAGTCTGGGGCTGTGGCTCCAGCCATGCCATCTGCTGTGGGTGCACGCAGTCCTCAAGAGGCTCCTCTCCATGTCCGAGTGATGCAGGTGGTCCCCAGGCCTCCTCAGGACACTTGGTCTTTCCCTGCTCACATACCCTGCACTTTGCTATCTGTCCTCAGCATGGAAAAGCTACCAATTGGGCCATTCAGGATTTAGAGACAAACTCTGTACACTAAAAAGCTTTGTGTCAGGCCTTCCCTGCATTTGGCCTCTTTCCAAAACCACTCTCCCAACACACTCCTTAAGTCTGAAAATTGGATCCAGCCAGAGACTGTGCTGAAAAGAAGTGACAAAGTGACTCTTCAGGAGAGTAGAAGTGAAATAATAAATCCCCAAAAGCAGCTTCCTCGCTAACTTGAATTTGATATAGGAAGGATTCCATTCCAATTACATTTTAAGAGAGGTTGATCTTTTTTCTCCTTTTAAAAATGGCATAAGTAATAGTTACTGCTGAAAAACTAGAATATCTATATGTATAATCAGGAAGAAAAGCGAAAGAGCAAACTACCTGATGTCTAAACCCTTCCCCAGGTAAACTTACACATATTTGTACATTTTAATTTCACTTTTTAAAGTCACAGTTCAAGTTTCCAAACTCAACCTCTAAGAAGTCCTAGCTGGCAACTACCTTTGGGTTGGTGACATGACCGTGAAGATTGGCATGAGACACTGAGGGACTCTGTGGGGTCTTCCTCCCTTGCCCACACCCCTCAGTGCATCACCCTCACCCCCACCTCCACCCTTCCCAGAAGATACCTGCTCATTGACAGTCAGAGATGACTCTGGCCCGGCTCCAGGGTCCATGGTCACTTGTCAGGGTAGGGTGGGGGCCAGCCCACACCTAGTGCATCCTGGGTAAGATGGGATTGGAAAAGCAAAGGCTGACGCCACACAGTAATGCAATTTCCATACCATCTAGGAAAGTCAGAAATAGAATGGTAGGAAGACAGAGAAGCTAGGTTCTCCCAAATATCTGCAGAAGTAAAGAGAACAGGATTCTAAGAACTTTGAAACTAAGGCGTTTGACTTCCTGTGACCAGGTACGGTGGCTCAGGCTGAGGCTGGTGGATCGCTTAAGCTTATGAGTTTGAGACCAGCCTAATCAAGAGTGAGACACCCACCCACCCCCATCTCTACTAAAAATGAAAAAACTGAGGCAAGAGGATCGCTTGGGCCTGAGTTTGAGGTTGCTGTGAGCTGTGATGCCACGGCACTCTACCCAGGGCATAGAGTAAAACTTTGTCTCAAAGAAACAACAAAAAAAAGGTTACACTCCTGACAGCATGCTGTAGAATCTACTATGCTAGGAAGAACCAGGGCCATCTGTGCTTAGGGTAACAAGAGGAAAGCGAGAGCCAGGCATCTGTTCCTGGGGGTTTCCTTTCTGGTCAAACAGGAGAACCTAAGGAGAATCAGACCCAGACACTCAGAACCTCAGACACACATAAGGAGCACAGCGAGTGTTTCTCAGGGGACAAATCTGGTCAGACTTCCTAAAAGAGATGGTAAAGGCACAAATTAAAACAGTGGTCTCAAATGTTAATATGCATCTCATCATCTGGAGAGCATATTAGAAAGGCAGGTCTCTAGGCCCCTTCCACAAACTGCCTTTAGAGAGTCTGATTCAGTACATGGACCCCACGCAATCAGCTCTGGAGGTGGGACAGCCTGCCACATGCAGTGAGGACTGGGCAAAACCCACATGAGCACAGGTAGTTAGGCTGGGGCCACAAACCACAGTTGTAAGAAATAAAGGGGTCATATAGGTTTGGCCACTTTTTTTTTTTTTTTTTGAGACAGAGCCTCAAGCTGTCCCCCTGGGTAGAGTGCCGTGGCATTACAGCTCACAGCAACCTCCAACTCCTGGGCTCAAGCGAGTCTCCTGCCTCCGCCTCCCAAGTAGCTGGGACCACAGGCGCCCGCCACAACGCCCGGCTATTTTTTGGTTGCAGCCGTCATTGTTGTTTGGCGGGTCCAGGCTGGGGATTCGAACCCGCCACCTTAGGTGTACGTGGCTGGCGCCTTAGCCGGTTGAGCTATAGGCGCCGAGCCGGTTTGGCCACTTTTATGGGAAAGAAGGGAATTAACGTTCATACCTCTAGGAAATAGGGGATCCAAAATGAGGGGCTTTATTATGATCGTGTTACAGATGAGGAAATGAAGCTCCAAGAGGTGTTCTAGAATCATCTTTCCCACCCTTCTCCCTTCCCTGGGTTTGGTGTTGTTTTTGTGTTTTAGAGACAGTGTCTCTGTCTGTCACCTAGGCTGTGCAGTGGTGTCATCATAGCTCAGAACAATCTCTAACTGCTGGGCTCAAGAGACCCTTATGCCTCTGCTTCTCCAGTAACTGGGACCTCCATTGTGCGCCACCAGGCCTGGCTATTTTTTCCTATTTTTAGTAGAGACGGGATTTCACTCTTGCTCAGGCTGGTCTCAAACTTCTGAGCTCAAGTGATCCTCCCACAGTGTTAGGATTATAAGGGTGAGCCACAGTGCCCAGCAACTATTGTTTTTTATTAAGGTAAAACCCTGCTTTGGTCTGAATGTTTGTGTCCCCCACTCTCTACCCCCTAAATTCATATGTTGATATTCTAATCCCCAGGGTGATGGTATTAAGATGGGGATCTTGGGGCTCAGCACCTGTAGCACAGTGGTTACAGTGCCAGCCACATACACTGAGGCTGGCGGGTTTGAAACTGGCCAGGCCAGCTAAACAACAATGACAACTGCAACAAAAAAAATAACCAGGCGTTGTGTTGGACACCTGTAGTCCCAGCTACTGGGAGGCTGAGACAAGAGAATCACTTCAGCCCAGGAGTTTGAGGTTGCTGTAAGCTGTGACGCCACAGCACTCTGCCAAGGGCAATATAATGAGACTCTGTCTAAAAAAAAAAAAAGAGGGCGACTTTGGGAAGTGATTAGGAATGAGATCAGTACCTTTATTAAAAAGGCACGAGAGACACCCTCATCCCTCTTGCTAAGGACACAGCAAGAAGGCTCTGTCTATAAGAAAGTGGGTCCTCACCAGACACCAACACCCTGATTTTGGACTTCTCAGCCTCCAGTTTTTCTGAGAAATACATTTCTGTTGTTTATAAGCCACCCAGTTTATGGTTTTGTTACAGCAGCCCAAACAGACTAATGCAAAGCACATACCATAAAATTCACCATCTTAGCCATTTTTAAGTGCACCATTCAGTGGAACTTAGTATATTCACAATGTTGTGTAACTACCACTGCTAGTTCCCGAATGTTTTCTGGAAACATAAAGGGAAATTCCATATTTCCATATCCACTAGCTGTCACCATCCACTGCCACCTCCCAGTTCCTGGAAACCACTAATATGCTTTCTGTCTTTTTTCTTTTTTTTTTTTTTGAGACAGGGTCTCACTTTTTTGCCCCTGGTAGAGTGCTGTAGCATCACAGCTCACAGCAACCTCAAACTCTTGGGCTCAAGCAATTCTCTTCCCTCAGCCTCCCAAGTAGCTCGGACTACAGGTGCCCACCACAACAGCCGGCTATTTTTAGATATGGGGTTTTGCTCTTGCTCAAGATGGTCTTAAATTTATGAGCTCAGGTTATCCACCTGCCTTGGCCTTCCAGACTGCTAGGATTACAGGTGTGAGCTACCTTGCCTGGCCTCTGCTTTCTTTATGGACTTCTTTGTTCTAGATATTTCATCTGAGAGGAACCACACATGTGTCTGACTTGTTTTTTTTTTTGGAGACAGAGCCTCAAGCTGTTGCCCTGGGTAGAGTGCCATGGCATCACAGCTCACAACAACCTCCAACTCCTGGGCTCAAGCGAGTCTTCTGCCTCCACCTCCCAAGTAGCTGGGACTACAGGCGCCCGCCACGACGCCCAGCTATTTTTTGGTTGCAGCCGTTGTTTGGAGGCCAGGCTGGATTCGAACCTGCCAGCTCAGGTGTATATGGCTGGCGCCTTAGCCACTTAAGCCACAGGCGCCAAGCCTGTCTGACTTCTTTTTACTTAGCATAAGGTTCGCAAGTTTCATTCGCCTTGTAGCATGTATCAGAACTTAATTCCCTTCACGACTGAATAATATTTGATTGCATGGATATCTACATTTTGTTTACCCATTCATTAGTTGATGGGTATTTTGGTCGTTCCATCTTTGACTATTGTGAATAGTGCATCTATGAATTTTTTTTTTTTTTTGAGACAGAGCCTCAAGCTGTCCCCCTGGGTAGAGTGCCGTGGCATTACAGCTCACAGCTACCTCCAACTCCTGGGCTCAAGCGAGTCTCCTGCCTCCGCCTCCCAAGTAGCTGGGACCATAGGCACCCGCCACAATGCCCGGCTATTTTTTGGAAAAAAACCATCATTGTTGTTTGGTGGGTCCGGGCTGGGGATTCGAACCCGCCACCTTAGGTGTACGTGGCTGGCGCCTTAGCTGGGTGAGCTATAGGTGCCGAGCCTGAATATTTGTATATAATTTTTTTGAACACTTGTTTCCAATTCTTTTAGGTATATACTTAGGAGTGGAATTGCTGGATCCTCCTGGGGTGTTAGCACCTTCACCCCTTGGTGGAGTGTTCCCCGATCAACCAAGCAAGGAAAAGAATGACATTCCTTCCCTCCTCTTCCTTCCCTATCCCTTCTAGAGTGGAGTTCAAGGAGAGGGAGCTTCTCTTTATAGGTAGTACAGGGGGGTAGTAGAAGAGCAGAGGAATTTGATGGGAGAACTGGTGAGCCTGCCTCCCTGGAGCTATGGCCTCATTCCTGGGTGTCGCCTACCCTTCCTCAATTTTGTACATGGGAGTTTTCCATGGATTTTGCAGAGAATTTGGCAATTTACCACCACTTCTGGAATTGATATGAGCTGTGAAGTTGTTATATTTACAAACCAATTAGCAAGTCATTTGCAAATTCAAATAGGAGGAAGAGACAAAATAGAAAGGAAAGGTGTGCAAGATGGATCTGGGTCCATTATTACTTAATACATACATTTCATGGGGAAAAGAATTTCAATTCCAAATTAGGAGAGAGGCAGTAGTAGTTAATCATTGTAAGGCAATGAGGCGTCTGCTCAAGAGGGGCTTAAAACCTGCTCAAAGTCTTGTTGTGGCCTTTTGCTCCCCGCAGCCCACTGTGTCTACTCACAAGGAGTGCTAAGCTAGGGTAAGTGTCCACCTTGTGACTGTGTTCTTAGGGGATTTAAGCAGTGACAAGGCTTGGGTGATTCTGATATTCCACCCTCGAGATTCCACGAGCTACATGGACCTGGGTCCTCAGTGTCTGGTCCTTTGTGTCAGGGCAAGATCAGTCCTGGGTCAGAGCCTCTGGCCACACGTAGGACCACTCCAACCCACCAACCAGACATTAGTCTACCAGAAAACCTGGCAGAGCAGAGGCAAAAATCTCCCTTGTCCCAGACCCTGGATCTCCCTTGCCTGTCTTACTTCGTCTTACCTATGGATGACTCCCACCAGAGACACGCATGTGATATATACATCTCTCTAATGCGCAGACACGTTGCATTTGGCTCTGAGCTATGCCCTGTGTGTTCCCCTTGCTTAGTATCTCTGCACTTTCCCGTACCTGCTCCCGTCTCCTAGCCAGGAATTTTCCACAATTTTTCAAGCCTTTCCAAACAGGCTGTGGCTTGGTTTCAGCGATGAGATAGCTATCTTCTGTTTGCTTCCTGACCATTCCCCGGATGACTAGGATAAACAGCATGTATGGATGGCCTTCTTTGAGCCCTTGACGCTAAGCAGTGTCTGCAGCCCAGTGGCTAGCAAGGAGAGACAATCAACCGTCTGTTTCAAGAGAAGAGGCCCCTGTCTCCACCCCAAATCCCAATACATACACAGATAACAGCAGAGCTGCTCTGGTTAAAGCTGGGGTGGGTGGCAGAGTCCACCCAGAGCCGTCTCCTTTCCCTTCTTTCTCCAGTGAGTTGAGTTTGAAAAACACCTGAATCAGACCTGGCAAGGCATCCTGGTTGCCTATCCGATGGTTCACTTATCCCTTGCTTTCCTGTGATAACATCTAAAAACCCAGCCATCTTGGGGGCAAATGAACTACGGGTGCTGAGGCATTTGCTACAACCTGAGAATCCAGTGACATCGAAGGCCATCCAGGTCTTTCAGCTGGGAAGAACGCACCAGAGGGCCTGTTTCTACCTGCCATTCTCTGGAACTGCTTTGGGTGTGGGGAAACATTCCAACTCCCTTTCCTCCCAGGAGGAGCTTTGGGAAATGCCAAGCAACTCCCTAGAGTAGCCTGCCGTGCCTTCTCCTGAAGAAATCCTGAAATGCCTTATCCTTTGTTTTTCAACACATATTTCAGTGGCTACTAATGTGCTGGGCATTGGAAATTCAATGGGAAAAAGCACATTTCTCACCTTTGTCGGGAAGGTTACAATCCAATGTGGGGGTCAAGGAACTAAAAAGGCAACTACAGTACAGCAAGTAAGTGTCAGGATGGGTAGATAGAAGGTGCTAGAGGGTCTGCAGGAAGGGGACCTAGTGCAGGCTTGTGTGGTCCTAGTTCCCAGGGAGGCATGTGCTTTGGACAGGAAGTATTATGTATGAAGAATCTTGTCCTATGTAGGAAAACTTGTTTTATGAGATTCCAACGTTTCACTCAGACACATTTCTGTGATTTTATCACTCCCTTAAGACTCAATGTGGTTGAGAGTTTTTTTGAGACAGTGTCAAGTTGTCACCCTCGGTAGAGTGCTGTGGTATCACAGCTCATAGCAACTTCTAACTCTTGGGCTTAAGTGATTCTCTTGCCTCAGCCTCCCAAGTAGCTGGGATTACAGGCACACACCATGATGCCCAGATATTTTTTGGTTATAGTCGTCATTGTTTGGTGGCCCAGGCTGGATTTAAATCTGCCAACTCTGGTGTATGTGGCTTAGCTGCTTGAGCTACAGGCGCTGAGCCAAGTTTCTTTTACTTATTTATTTATTTTTTGAGACAGAGTCTCACTATGTTGCCTTTGATAGAGTGCCGACGTCATAGCTCACAGCAACCTCAAACTCTCGGGCTTAAGGCCCGGTGCTCATAGCTCAGTGGTTTGAGATTGCTGTGAGCTGTGATGCCACATAGGGAGACTGTCTCAAAGAAAAAAAAACTCAAAACCTTTAGGCCTAAATAATTCTCTTGCCTCAGCCTCCCAAGAGGCTGGGACTACAGGCGCCCACCACAATGCTGGCTATTGTTTTTAGAGATGAGGTCTTGCTCATGCTCAGGGTGGTCTTGAACCTGTGAGCTCAGGCAATCCACCTGCCTTGGCCTCCCAGAGTGCTAGGATTACAGGTGTAAGCCACCACACCTGGCCCTGTAAATCTTAGAGTTTGCCTTGAAATTATTGTACAAACAAAACACTAAGAACAATGACTTAGCTATTATTATCCCTATTTTATAGATGAGAAAGTTGAGGATCAAAAAGCAACAAGAGTAAAGATTTCAAGGAAAATCTAAATTCAAATACTAGCTTGGGCACAGAACAGTTGATTTAACCTCTCTGAATCTAATTTCTTTTTCTTTCTTTCTTTCTTTTTTTTTTTTTTTTTTTTTTTTTT